CAGGGAGGCAACAACATTCATGCGGAGGGCATTGCGGCCATCTGTGACGCACTCAAAGAGAACTCCACCATTACCACTGTGAGTAAACACCACTTCAGATCTGGGAACGTGGCTTTGAGTCCACTTGAATGGGCGTGGCTTTGAGTCGACTTGAATGGCAGTTGCGGCCATCTGTGACGCACTCAAGGAGAACTCCACCATCACCACTGTGAGTGAACAACCACTTCAGAAAAGAAGACTTCTGGATTGACTAGAGAAGCATTGCTTTGCTGCCATCTGTGACGCACTCAAAGAGAACTCCACCGTCACCACTGTGAGTAAAAAACCACTTCAGATAAAAAGGGGGATGGAAGAGTCACTGATTTGCTCTAGGGGATGAATAATTCGTTGATTAAGTAAGTCTGACCTTACTTGTGCTGTCACTCCTTTCCTCACTCCGTTTCTCACTCCTCCCCAGCTTAAATGTTGAAAAAATTCGTCAAGAATCCATCGCCTTATCTGTCCTGTCCCTTGCTCCCGTTCTGCCACAGCTTGAGTTGGGGTACAACCCCATTGGTCCAGAGGGCGCCAAGGCACTGGCAGACACGGTCAAGTTCCATGGGAACGTGGAGACGCTGCGACTGGGGTGGTGCAAGGTGAGGTTGAGGGATGGAGAGCGGTTATTGGTGGTGCAGGGGTGCTGCTAGTTATTGCTGTGGCTGTGCACCTTAGTCAAGGCACTGGCACACACGGTGAAGTTCCATGGGAACGTGGAGACGCTGCGACTGGGGTGGTGCAAGGTGAGGGTGGTGCAAGGTGAGGGTGGTGCAAGGTGAGGGTGAGGGAAGCAGAGTCATGGGCTCGTCAGAGGGGCTGCGCTGTGCACCGGGGCCAGGGCACTGACTGGCAGACACAGTGAAGTTCTGTGGGAATGTGGAGACCCTGCGACTGGGGTGGTGCAAGGTGAGTGGAGGGATGGGATTATGGTGTTTATGGGCAGGTACTGCTTAGTTTGTGCACCCTGGTTGAGTCACTGACTGGCAGACACGGTGAAGTTACATGGGAACGTGGAGACGTTGCGACTGGGGTGGTGCAAGGTGAGGGTGATCATGGGGGCATGATGCCAGGGGGGAAAGATTGGGAAGTATGCTTGGTGTGTGCTCTCAAGTCTAGGTGTATTGATGCTCAATCTTGAGGCGCCTCAAAACTAGACTTGGTGTGTGCTCTCAAGTCTAGGTGTACTAATGCTCAGTCCACACCCATCCCCCTTTCCTCTTTCCATTCCAACCTCCTCTCTCCCAAACCCCCCACTCCCCCCCTTTACTTCTCCCATCCCCCTCAGATCGGAGTGAAGGGAGCAGAGTACATGGCCGATGCGCTTAAATACAACAGCACCATCACCCCCCTACTCTTACCCATCTGCTCCCACGCTCTCATCCGCCCTCCTCCCATCTGTCCAGATCGGAGTGAAGGGAGCAGAGTACATGGCAGATGCTCTCAAGTACAACAGCACCATCAACACTCTTGACCTGAGGGCCAACGCGCTGGGTGATGAGGTGAGCTCGGAGGGATGATGGCAGTTCGTGCAGCAACTAGGAGGGGGGTATGAACAGGCAGGCGCACTGTCGATAAAGTACAACAGCACCATCAACACGCTTGACCTGAGGGCCAACGCGCTGGGGGACGAGGTGAGCTGCATCTCACTCAATAGTATCTTTGAGTGAGAGGTGAGCTGTAGGTATTCACACTCAAACGCAACAGCACCATCAACACTCTTGACCTGAGGGCCAACGCGCTGGGAGGTGAGGTGAGTTAAGGTGAGGTGAGGGGAGGTGCGCTCTTAGCCTGATGTCAATCCACACACACACCAACCGGGGGGTTGTTGGTCTGTTTGGTCTTCACACTCACACACAACAGCACCATCAACACTCTTGACCTCAGTGCCAACGCTCTGGGTGATGAGGTGAGCTGCTCTGTTGCCAATCCATGCATCAACCACGGGGGATAGTGATCAGGCAATTGCACTCGCATTCTCCCCCCCCTGCTCCCTTGCACCTCATGTCTCTCTATGCTTCTCCATCCTTTGCCCTTTCTGTCCCATCAGGCTGCGGCCATTCTGGCTCTGAGTCTGCGCGTGGTCAACGAGCAGCTCATTCTAAACACCGATGGGCCCGTTTCTTTTCTAAACAATTACCCCCTCTCCTTCCCTTTCTGTCCCATCAGGGCGCGGCCATTCTGGCTCTGAGTCTGCGCGTGGTCAACAAGCAGCTCATTCTAAACACCGATGGGCCCGTTTCTTTTCTAAACAATTACCCCCTCTCCTTCCCTTTCTGTCCCATCAGGCCGCGGCCATTCTGGCTCTGAGTCTGCGCGTGGTCAACAAGCAGCTCATTCTAAACACCGATGGGCCCGTTTCTTTTCTAAACAATTACCCCCTCTCCTTCCCTTTCTGTCCCATCAGGCCGCGGCCATTCTGGCCCTGAGTCTGCGCGTGGTGAACGAGCAGCTCTCCTCGTTGGACCTGGCCTTCCCTGTCCCCCTTGCATGCACTCCTTAAGGCGTGGCGCTGCCATTGGAAATGCTCTCGATGCTCATCTGCCTTCCCCCCCCTCCCTTTCATCAGGGCGCGGCCATTCTGGCCCTGAGTCTCCGCGTGGTGAACGAGCAGCTCTCCTCGCTTGACCTGGGCTTTAACGAGATCCGCGACCGCGGGCTCTCAACCTTGAGCTTTCTTTCCCCCCCCCCCCTGTCTTCCAACAGGGAGCGGCCATCCTGGCTTTAAGTCTGCGAGTGGTCAACGAGCAGCTCTCCTCGTTGGACCTGGGCTTTAATGAGATCCGCGACCGCGGGGCATACGCCCTGGCAGAGGCGCTCAAAGCGAATGGGGAGGCGGCAGTCGAGACACTTAACCTCTCCAGCAACTACATCACCAAATACGGCCAGGTAAAGTCTTTCAACCTTTTTTTTCTTTAGTAATCTTATAATGATTACCATTATGCATATTATCGTTACGTTTATTGTGATAATTATTATTATTGTTGTTGTTTCCATTATTATTTATGTTATCATTATTATTCCTCTGATCTGGCAACTGCCCTGCCCGTCCATCCATTGGGGGAACCTGGTGGGTGGGATGAATGACGGAAGGTTAACATCTTATGGTGATGGCACTTGCAGGGCTGCTGCTATCCACCCACTCACTTCCTCTTCCCATTCCCTCTGTGCATCTCCCCCAGGTTGCTCTGAGCGAGGCCAAGGACCTGGTGAGCGAGATGACAGATACTTACCAGTGGTTCATTCCCTCTTTCCTCCGGTTTCCCTCTGTGCGTGTATCAAATCCCTCCCAGGTTGCTTTGAGCGAGGCCAAGGACCTGGTGAGTGAGATGAATGACGGCAAGGAGGTCAACATCTACTGGTAACTGGTCATGCCACTGATGACAATGGACCGATACCATTGCACTCGTGCCAATGGACTGATGCCAATGCACCGATACCACTCAGCAAGCCTTTGTTATCCATACTCATTTCCTCTGATGATGCCACTGTTTCAATAGCACGGATGGCAAGGATGACACTGGGCAGTATAGGTCAGCAGGGTGACGTGCGGAAACCGCATGATCGTTGTCATAGTGTGATGTGAACATGGAGTCAGCGTTTCTGATGGTGCTGTTAGAATATGAGACGAGAAGTGGCTGTTTGTGATTCTACAGCAGTTTATGCCAACACCGTTTGGGAATAATAGATTCTGAAACCAGCATCGATGGGATTGTATTGTACCTGTGATGGTACGCACACCGATGCAGTGTTAAGTGAGATGGGTATGAAGGGAGGGAGGTTGTGATAAAAACAGCTCTTATGGTTTGCTTTTAGAAGCGAGCAGAAATGAAGGTCATGTGTGGGTGGAGTGCTGGTGGTTGAAAGGCTGTGCTACATGCAATATAATAGTGATACAAACAAGTCAGAACATCCATCTTGTTCTCTGTACATTAGTGAATGTGACTGAAACGAAGGTCTGGCCCTCAACCAGAACTGGCACCTTTGGCTTACCCCGTATAGCCACAGTGCTTTCTGCATTGTCCTCTGCATATGTGGTTCTCCTGATGAGAGCCTGAGTCGCCCCCCCCACATTCAGCTTGTACCTGGATAACCTCACATTCACCACCTTATCCCTCACCCGCTGATTCACTATAAACACACTCACCGTCCGCTTCTCCTTACTGTAGAACGCAGCTACCGTGTGCCGACACGCTATCGGCACCATTAACGGCCGGCTCCCTGGCCTTACCAGATCCGTAAACTGCTTAAACATCCAGTACCTTTTAAGCATGGTGGGAGGGTCTACTGTACCTGTATATCCTGGCGGATAATACCAATTCAGACCGATCAGTGACCATGTGTCGTTGGGGTCGAAAATCTGCCAGTAGACATACGCGGAGATCCCGAGAATGTTCACCGTCTCAATCACGTTCCGCATCATGTAGAGCGAGAGGTCGTACGCGTTGCCAAACTTGTTCAACGGCCCAGATTCCGACACCCAGATCTCCTTCCCGAGCGATTTCGCGAGCACCTTCATCGCCACGTAGCGAGCGGCGTAGGTCTTCTCGGCGACAGAAGCAGTCATGTTCACGACCTGCTGAACCGGCAGCGTGTATCCGTGAACGTTTACCCGGTGGAAAAATATTTTTCCCACAAGCAGTGGGAACCCGAGAGCAGTCATGCCCGGAAAACTATCCACACCGGCGAGTTTCGTCTTGAGCTTTTTCTGCCGCAGCAGCCGCAGAGTTTTGAAAATGATCCGGCTCATTTCGACCACGTTGAAATTACACCCCTCCTGCCCCATCCCCTTTAGCCAGTGCCCCTCTAACGCCTCGTTGAACGGCTCCAGTGTATCGAATTCGATATTCCCTAAAGCCGGATCCGTTTTAAACCTCTCAACCACCTCCACCAAATACTTGGCAAACCGTCCCTCATATTTCGGCAGCAGATTCGTCTGAAAAGCCTTCTTCCCGCCCGCAACGTCTTTACTCGCGGTCATCCACCAGGGCGGGCTGTTGGAAAACGCCTCGAACACGTTCACCCCGCGGGCCTTGGCTCCCAGCAGCACCGCCTGCTGCCTCGAATCCGCCGTCCAGTTGAACCCCGCTGCCTGCGCTGGCCAGTACCCCGGCATGGCCCGCCAGCGCAGCAGCGCGTCCGAGTGCAGCTGCGGGCTGTACTGCGGGAGGGAGCCGCCGCCAATATTGAATCGCACTATATTGAGGTTGAGGCCCGAGGGGAGGAACATGAGGTCCAGCAGAGGGTCCATCGCCGCCCGGGGGAACCCGCCGATGTAGTTGCCCAGCCTGGGGGGCGGAAGGAGCGGAGGGGAAGGTGGGGGGAATGGGGAGGTGGGGGGAAGCGGGATGTGGGGCAAGGGGGAGATGGGTAGAAGGTCGGGTGCGGTGAGAGAGGAAAAGCGTGTGGTTGGGAGTCAGATACGCTAGGGCGATTCAATAGAATCAACTCACCATGCGAGCGATGTGCCCCATCCCTTCCACTTGGTCCCGATCTGTCGCGGAGTGATCGTCACGTGGAAAGGTCCCTTACCGCCCGAGCACACTCCGAACCGCTCCCATGCCGGCTCGAGCGTCGGAGCTGGCGGTCTGGCCTTCGGTCCTGCCGTCCATGCTGACGTATTTACTAACGAAGTATCGTGCCACGCAATGGGGTATCGCGTGAAATTCCATGGTTCGGGTTCAGGTGAAGGGGCAGGGGCAGGTGACTGTACAGGAGGTGACTGTACGGGAGGTGACTGTGGAGGAGGTGACTGTGCGGGAGGTGTGGCTGCGTCCTGTGCGTTTGCCTGGTTCGAGGGGAGTAGGTGCTGAAAAAACGCGACGACTTGGTCGATAATCGACGACCCTTCGGCGACTGTCGCTGAAGCTCCTATTAAGAGCAGAGCCAGTACGAAGGCTGTGTTGAGCGATCTTGACGAGTATGTTACTATTCGTGGATGAAGGTGACGGGAAAAACTAGAGGGCATTGTCAACGACGCCGTGACGAAAACAGGTCACACTTTTCGTAGAGTTCGCAGAGAATCGCGGCGAGCGTCACGCGCTGGACGACGTGATCAGGTTCGGTCTAGAGCCAGGCCAGCAGCATTTTCTTTGGAAAGATAACGCGAGCGGGATGCACGGACGGACCGAGTCAGACTAGAGCAGTACGGATTAAGGAGTTTACTATGGTCGTCGCGAGGTGCGACTGAGACTCGCCAGCGCGTTGCTTCGAACCAACTCGCCGAGGCTGTACCTAGAGTTGCATAAACAAATGTGGCCAAGAGCGAATTTGATAGCGGTTATAAAGGGGCCGAGGAACTGGTTTGTCGGTTGAATGTTGACCATGCTCGCTTCAGCCCAGCAACGGACCTTGGGGATTGTCCACACCACAGCCCCCGTCCAGCTGCAGGGTGACGTAGGAGCCGAGGGAGGACACGGAGGTGCGGACGGGATGTCGAGTAGAGATGATGGGGGGTAGCGAGCAAAACGAGGTGCGGGGAACCCATGTTGTCCGCACACCGTTCCCGCGTGAAATGTGTTGAAAATCCACCGACGGCAGAAATGTGTGGAGGGGAACTTTTTCCCCCATTGGGGACAGGAGGGGGAACGTGGAGCGCAGTTGACACACCCGCGCACGGCAATGTCACAGGAAGAGGAAGAAACGGGCATTTCGAGGCGAGGCGCGATGAGGCTGGTTTGGCACTCTGATGCTTGGGTGATTGGCTGTCAAGCCGAACCTGTCGAGTAAACCTAAATTTGACGGTTCGATGGACACGAGATCTGACGTCTCCTACCTGCTCGATTTCTGGTAAGTACGCATCCGCGGTCCCAAACTAGCCCTATGAAGCTTTGTTCCCCTCAAATCAAGCACATAGGTTTGGCTCCTTTGGCTCGAAAGTTGGTATGGAACCGAAGGTCTCTGGTCTGGGGTCGAGAAGTCGGTTGGACTCTGTCACCCCAATCACCACGAAACTGAACGTGTCAAGAAACACTGCTAGCCGTCACCTGCAGCAGTCAAACGACCCACCTTCCTCTCCAGTGGACCGTGAAGACCCTCGGGAATGTGTACACGCAAAAATTCTTTCACCTTGGCAAACGAGCTCGTCCAATTTCGGTTCAGGTGGGTGTTTGACAGTTGTGATGGTTCGACAAATCAGTTCGCCACCACCACTGCATATCTTCGTCGCTGACAGAACTGACGCCTGGAGGTCATATGGTCGTGAATAGACGTCCAAACGTCCCTCTAACCGCTCGGGTGACGTACATCTGTTGTCAGACAATGCTAGCACCGTCATCACCAAAGCGGAACATCACCAAGCGCACAGCCACGTATATACCTTCTGACTTGCTATTTCTTTTTTTGAACACGGGTGAACGTTACAGACAAGAAAGATTGGCCTTCTACAACAAGATCAACCCCAGCAATTGAAGGGAGCTTTGTTGTAGTGACTGCGTTATCATCTGCCCGGCTGGTCCTGCGAATCATTGCCTCAGATTGTCCCCCCACATTCAACTTGAACCCAGACAGCCTCACAACAAACCTGGCATCATCTGCCCTTTGTATCACTATAAACAGACTCACTGTCTGTTGCTCCTTACTCTACAAAATTCAAGAAGGAAAAAGAATGCTTAAGGATTTCATGGGGATTGCTTGAAGTTTTCCCCTGCCGTCAATGCTTGTGGTTTATCATGATGAATGCTGAACAGTTGACGTTTCTTGGAGGAATCATTGATTGGTTTGTTTCAGCACTCTTCAGCAGGTTCGGCAAGCAGTGCGCCAGCATGCTGCCAGCATTGCTTATCCTCACTATAGCAACTGAACTAATCATTAAGCGCCTCTTAATAACGGATCACTATCACAATACACGAAACTTTTTATATTCAATACTAACAAGAAAAGGCAAAACACAAAATACAGTACAGCTTACAAAATGGATATGGGTGGTACCAAATCGTGACAAGAATTCATTCTCTGCTAAAAAATGAAATTATCCGTATCTCATATACTTCAACTCAACCGTACACCAACAACCATAACCACAATACCAGGTCTGCCTAGCAGAAACGGACTTCCTACAATATACCCACGTACAACATACAGTCAACACATATGTATCATGCATTAATGAACAGCTTATTTCGGGCGTGACGAGGGGTCTGCACTCATCAGCAACACACGCAGCAGCGTTGGGTCAACACAGCAATGGTAACGTGCCATAAAACGAACGTGAACCTACCGATAAAGTATGCCATTCATGTGGTTGGTTTATGAGTCGCTGGGAACTCCTCCAGGAACCGTGATTAACTTGGTGAAAATATGGCGATAAGTCTTCTGAAAAGTAAATACAATTAGGCGACGGTATTCTCGGAGGCTTGACGATAATGTCGGAAGTCGCTGGTATAGAGTGTAATCATGCGCGCTTGTACTCTGCAACGAAATAGGCAGTAACAAGGTTAAATTAGCCAATGCGTTCTTGGCTGGGACAGAAACTCACCTTATGTTGCATATAACTGGACCAGCGAGCGTAGGGCGTGAGACGGTAGCGTAACCGCGAGATTCGTGCAGCCTGGGCGAAGTTTACAGCAGAAATCGTGCGCCAAAGCGGTAATTTTATATCCTGCTGGAGGGAGGACGTAAGAACAGAATAGATACACATTTCAGGAGCGTCTGCGTAAGGAAGGAACAGATATGCAGCAGCCATGGAACCGTGCAAGCTAAGAGAGTGTAGAAAATGGAGCATGAAAATCTTCACAAGTGAAAATGAAAGCATGCTGAGGTGTTGGTGATTTTTGAGTGGCGAGGGAGAGAAATGCAACTTCTGCACAGTGTTGGGTCGCACGCGAAGATTGTCGAAATGTTGGCGACCTGGTTTTTTGGGGTTGTCTGTTCGCCTCACTAGGCCAAACCCATCAGCGCTGTCACATCTGATGGTGACACCGCACCTTCAGGGTGACTGTTTCTGACGCGTCAGCAACATCTTATCCGGTTCAATTCTCTCTATAGTTGTGTTTGTTATCACGCGATGAAACATCAGCATATTCGATTTCAGATTCCCTGGGTTCGTGAAAATTCGGAAGAGCATGTGCACCACTCTACATCCAGCATAACCGAAATAGATTTGCTGTATCAATCGAAATTGGCACTTGCGGGGCTGGGTTCGACTGCGAACTGCTGGAAGCTGCAGAGACAATGGGAAAGGGGGGACATAGTTTTTGACATGTGTTCCAATGTTTCAGCACTGTTCGCCCCCCTAAAGAATGTTTCAAGTAACCCTAGTCATTGCTCGTTCATTGGTCAGTATGCAAAGATGGGGAAAACCGAGTTTTGGGCATGGGATGTGGCGTCTCACATTTTGTAGAGTACTGTAAAAACAGCTACAGTGTGTCGGCACTTACTTGGCACCACCAGCGGCTGACTCCCAGGCCTCACCAGGTCTGTGAACTGCTTGAGCATCCAGAACCGCTTCAGCAATACAGGAGGGTCGAATGGGCCTGTGAAACCAGGAGGGTGCTCCCAGTTGATCCTAATCACCGACCATTTGTCACTCCCGCCGTAAATCTGCCAGTACACAAATGCAGAAGCTTCCAGGATGTTGATTGATTCAATGATGTTTCGCATCATGTAGAGCGAAAGGTCGTAGGCATTACCCTGCTTGAATAACGGGCCTGACTCGGACACCCACACTTCCTTCCGGAGAGATCTGGCCAGCCTCTTCATCTGGGTGTTAATCACAGTTGTTAACGATATAGCCTGTGCCGTTGTCAGGTTCACGTACTTTTCTGACGGGAGAGTGTAACCGTGCACGTTGATCCTGTGCAGGAGGGTTTTCCTAAGGACCAATGGTAACCCTAAGCTGGTCAAAGCCGCGTTGCTGTCGACCCCGACCAGCTTTGTCTTCTTGAGCTTCCTCTTTCTCAGAGCCAGCCAAGTCTTGAGAAGAACTCGGTTCATCTCAGGTGGGTTGAAGTTGCATCCTTCCTGCTCCATCCCGGCCACCCATTGTCCCTCCAGCCCTTCATTAAACGGCTCCAGCGTATCGAATTCGATGTTCCCAAGCGCCGGGGTTTTTGCAAACCCTTCCACGACTTTTACGAAGTATTTGGCAAACTTCCCCTCGAACCTTCGCAGCAGGTTCGTCCTCCACTTCTTTTTTGCCCCTGAAACGTCTTTACTCGCGGTCATCCACCAGGGCGGGCTGTTGGAAAACGCCTCGAACACGTTCACCCCGCGGGCCTTGGCTCCCAGCAGCACCGCCTGCTGCCTCGAATCCGCCGTCCAGTTGAACCCCGCTGCCTGCGCCGCATTAAGGAATCTTCATACAGTTGAGGGCTGTACTGTGGAACGGAGCTGCCGCCTATATTGAATCGCACTATATTGAGGTTGAGGCCCGAGGGGAGGAACATGAGGTCCAGCAGAGGGTCCATCGCCGCCCGGGGGAACCCGCCGATGTAGTTGCCCAGCCTGGGGGTGGGCG